CCTGATAATCTCGTTTTGCAGCAGGAATAAATTGAAGTATCAGAAAGAGTTGTGCAATCTTTCGATCCAACGATTGCGGCATTATTACGAATCTCCCGCCTTTGTCACAACTTTAGGTGGTCTAGGAATTACTGTTCCAAGATTCGAGGACTTGCACTGGGTTAGAGACTCGCGCCGATCTTGGCAATTTGCTTTATGAGTATAATTGAGGAGCCCAGTACTAGCACGTTTGCCATCGATGTACTGCCGCTATATCGACGACTGCTGCACCGTCACCTCAACACAATCCGAAATGGATGAGTGTTTTAGAATTTTAAATTAGCAGTCGCATTACATAAGACTTACACGAGAAATCCCGAACAGTGGTTTCCTTTCAACATCCAGATGATCTGTCCGATGGCACTGTACGAATCAAATGGTTCCGAAAGGAAAGCTCCAAAAACATCCTTGTTCACACCACGTCAGCGCATCCTAGAGCTCTAAGGCGTTCTGTCATCAACAATATGTACATTATATATCATTATGTCTACTCTAACCGTGGTAAAGTCCCTGAGTCACTGAGCAGCCCTCAGTGATGTCCGTTGCAGCCGCGGGGACTACACTTCACGGTGGATTGAAGGTTGGTGTCTACCACTTCGGATTTTTTGCCAGTACGTCGTACTGATACAAGGTCTGAACGCCGCCAGTTAGAAGAGGTGTTTGGTCGTGCAGACTGACAAAACAAAACTGCAATCCCTTTTCATTATCCTCTTCTGACCTTTTCAGGCCTCCGACGAAGACGATACCTGTCGAAACATTAGGCAATAAACATCCACCATAAAATTTGGCACAATATCAGTCACAAATATTACATCTACAGCATGTTTTTAGCGAATACTGAAATATGTTCTGACGCAAACATATTTTAGGTTTATCCTCTTCTGACCTGACCCTATGCGCTTTTTCCACAATTTCTAAGGTCATCTTTTCTCTGCGATAGATGGAATTTCCCAAAAAAATTGCCGTATTTCATAATTTGTGCACTGAGCGTCCTAAATCCACTCGTTTTGAGGCGATAGTCGCTCATTTACTTAACTTCATCTTATCTTGTGGGATACTTTCAGAAATTTCTGCGGTCCCATGACTACGAAATTCTTGAAAAACTGGGCGCAACAGCTGAGCTTGAAGACTTTCCTAATAATTAAATTTTTGAAGATCCCAAAAAAATGTTTTAATAATTTACAAGTAAGAAGACAAGTCATTTGATGACTTCACTACCAATTTTACGAGAGCGCTTCTTCATGATGTACTCACATTTTTGAGTTATGAAGAAAACAGGTGTTACGCATACCGGCATGTCATTTCCACTTAGTTATAAGAAATTTGTAATCTGGAATGATAATCCTAGTGTAAAAGTTAACAGGTTGTCCATTTTCTGCCTACCGTAACTTGACCTATACTAGCTCTCTTCCTACCATGATTTTACAGCAACAAAGATCAAGCGATTTGCATTAAATGTTATTAAGTTGAGGACGCACGAAATGATATTTGTAAGTCTGTTAAAGACCTCAAGGGGAGAGAAGAAAAGAGAGAGAGAGTACCACAAGTAAAACTGCACACATAATTTTTCGAGTTCTATTTCGTTTGAACCTGGACTTTATTGAGATCTTTATTCGCCTATGCCGTAGAGTTCTGAAAAAGATATTGGTTCAGTCGAAAATGACGCTTTGTTTTCGGGCCTCTGAGAGGCGAGAAATTAAGCCGATACGAATAGAAGCAATTAACACACTTAGTCCTAATTCATTTAGCCGCTATTCCATCACTATCTTATTTCTTCACAAAGGCTTGAGCCTATCACGTCAGGCCTCGGGCAGAGTTCACGCGATTTCATCGTCGCGAATCATCGCGACAAGTGTTGCGAGTTTATTGCAAGCCAATCTTCTTGTATTACGGTTGTGATAGTTAGTCACGATTAGTCGTGCTGGAAAACTATCACAATCGAAATGCAAGAAGATCGGCATGCAATGATATTGTTACAGTTGTCTTGTCGCGATGAATTGAATGATGAAATCGCGTGAACTCTGTCCGAGGCCTTAGACATAAGGCATACCTCATGCGATTTCAGTAGCAGCGCGATTCGGCAAGGAAGCAACAGTTGGTATTCGGTCGTTAGCGTCCTTTGTTAAAAAGGACTTCCTCCTTTGCAGGAACCCATAAAAGCTACGCAATTATGTGTTCCAAAACCACCCACGACGAATTGGTGAAATTCTGGCAGAACGTCAAGTCGCTTCGACGTCGCGATTTCGTCAAATCGCGTGAGGTATGCCTTAGGTCTTAGAGGGCTGAATCTAGCTTGCAATTATTCTCCCGAGACCTACGGATCACTATAAACCCAGCCTTACAGTGAAACGAATTACGCTGGCACAAAAATAACAGCCTCGGCTCCCGCGAAATTGGAGTTAATAAAGATGGTGTTAGTACAGCGCTGGACATAATTATAAAGTCATTCTGGAAATCGTCGTAATTTGCGTTTTATTGATGAAACTGTATGGAACTTTGCTGAGTGGTGCGCATGTTGGGCTACCATAACCATTCAAAACGACTTCCAATTTGATTGAGTTCGAACGGAGAAAAATAGAAATTTTCGAAAAAAAAACCCGTAGCGAAAGCTGGTAGAATTATAAAGACCCTTGGTTTTTTTTGAATACTATTGCATCCTCTGGCTCTAAAAATTTTTCACAGTTACATTTTGCAATATGAAACTTTTGCAACATCTACCTATCATCCTTTTCAAAGAGAATTGATCACTGCATTTTTTGCTTTCAAAAGCATCAAAAGTGAATGTGCTTCAACAAGCAACTGGTTTGGGGAATTTTCAAGCTCTTGTTCATGTCAGATGACAGTCATGGAATCCACTGAGCCTTTGGATACATGAGCTGAAGAGCACTTCCGTAAACTCTGCGTAATCGTTGACATGGACGGATAGACTCCAACCTCAACATATGTGACGACTCAATTTTCAAGCAACAGAAAATACTGTAATGCAGCCATTACGTCGGTGTACAAGAGTAAACTTGTGTGCAAAGTTTGAAAAGAATGTCGAAGTCAGCATAATGGTTCAGCCGCAGTTGTCATCCACTGAATGTTGAGTGGAACAGCTTGCACACTCATAGCGAACTCACAAGGCAAGTGCGTTTAGTCGAAGTGGCCTATCCAGATGAGACCCATACTGCTTTGAAGAGCATTAGGCGATGATTCCAAATCTGCCTTCCAAATCTGCTCAGCGCCTCTGGACGTCGAGTTATGGGTGTTTCTCGAGCGAAAAAATTGAACGCAAAACTTGAACAAAATTGCCCAAATTTGCTCAAATGGTCCAGTGTCAAGTCTCAGAGCCGTTCATGCAATGGATACATTCTGTCTAATATGCTAATACTTAACACTGCTTTATCTGAAATATGCTAATACTTAACACTGCTTTATCTGAGCGCTGGAAAGATTGTAACAATCGATTTTACCTAAATTTTGCATTCATTTTTCGCTCTTAAAAACGGTCATAACTCGGCGTCCAGAGGCTGAGCAGATTTGGAAGGCAGATTTGGAATCACCGCTCAATGCTCTTCAAAGCAGTATGGGTCTCATCTGGAAAGGCCACTTCGACCAAATACGCTTCCCTTGTCAGATCACGGGATAGAACAAGAGACCGCTCAAAACTCTAAAATCTTAGCTAATCTCATGCCTTTGGTGAAAGTTGACATGAAATAGAGAGGAAAATCGTGAGATACAAGATTATGTCGAATCTACTGCTCGAGAATTTTCGTGTGAAATTTTCCAGGTCTAAGTCGCGACTGCACCACTAGCGCTGTATCATTATGAGGGCATTGTAAAGAATTAAGTCTACAGCTTAATAGGATTAAGTGCAGCACTATGAACTAAACTGAGTTTTGCAGTTTGAAAGCGTGACAAACCTATGTTGAGGTTGGAGTCTATTCGTCCATATCAGCGATTACGCAGAGTTTACGAAAGCGCTCCTCAGCTCATCAATAGGAAAGGCTCAGTAGATTTCAAGTCTGTCATCTGACATGAACAAGAGCTTGAAAACTCCTCAAACCAGCTGCTTATAGAAGCACATTCACTTTTGATGTTTTTGAGAGCAAAAAAGCAGTGATCATCTTATATATAAAGCTGAATGTCTGTCTGTCTGTCTGTATGTATGTATGTATGTCTGTACGTATGTGCGGAATAGAAATTTTTATTTCTAAACCGATCGGGACCAAACTTGGCACACATATACTTCGGGGCAGGGAGCGTGTCATAGGCTACTTTTCGTTATCGATCGATATCGATTTTATTGATTTTTTGCAAAATTCGAGCTAGAGGGCTGGGATTTGGCAGAGGGGGGTAATCGAGCATGCTGATCACCCCGAAGGGGGTGATCAGCATGCTCGATTACCCCCCTGTGCAAAATCCTAGCCCCCTAGCTCAAATTTTGCAAAAAATCGGTAAAATCGACATCGATCGATAACGAAAAGTGGGCTATGACATGCTCCCTGCCCCGAAGTATATGTGTGCCAAGTTTGGTCCCGATCGGTTTAGAAATAAAAATTTCTATTCGGAACATACGTACACGGGTCTAGCTGGCAGGCCCGGCGGAGCCGGGCAAGCCAGCTAGTTTCTCTATAAAAAGGATGACAGTTGCAGATTCTCATTACTTTTGCTGTCACTTTTTCCAAAGCAGAATCGGAACTTATGAGAAATAATGGCACTTGTTTTTGCTTGAGTTTTGCAGTTCTATTTTGATTTACATTCGTATATACTATTCAATCAGAAGAGTTTTGGCCGTTGCTTAGCTGGTGAATTTTTCTCAAAACACATCGACAAAGATCTTGGAATCATCCATAATAGACTTTCAGAGAGCTGCATGTCAAGCCTCCACCTTCCGCGGCGCTTCCTATTCTCGCAGTGTCTCAAGAGCTTGATCAAGCATTCGTCCTGTTCGTAAAGAAAGCATTTATACCGCTCACCTGTGTTAGAACGATTGGAAGGGAGACTAGGTAGGATCGAGTTTCTGTAAATTTGACATCCACGGACAAGTTTCATTAAAGTAAAACAAACCTGGAAATTCCTTCTTTGCTGTTGGGATTTGCAAAGGCTTCCGTCAGTACTGCCAATGCAATAAACAGGATGTTCATCGAACGCAACCTGAATACTCGCTTCTACTACCGTATACCGTTTTATGACAGATGCTTGACGCGCCGACCAGCTGAGTGCCTACTTTAATTTACTGTTAGACATAAGCTATGAATTGAGGTAGGCACTCAAGCAAGCTTGTAAGGCGATGTAAAAACTAAGATTCTAATGAAATTGGCTGATTATTTGATGCGGTTGGAGCATACGTTTGATTTTTATATCATTATTAGCAAGCTTATGGGTTAGAGCAAATGCATCTGTGTATTGTTGCTTTACCGAAAACCCAAGTACTATCATGTCTTTCGTAATTAACTTCGCCTTTCTCAAAGCTGGAAGGTAGAAGCTGGAAGGTAATACCACCTACTACCGTATCGTTGCTACCGTTTAAACCGCACGTTCTCATAGTGCTTCTTAGGTCCTGACAACCGTTTGACTTCGAGATTCAAAACGTCGTAATGGCGGTTTTTTCAACAGAGCTGTAGTCACCAACAAACTTCTCTTCGCCTCTAAAAGATTTCTCTGTCTTCAAATCCTCTTACCTTCATTGATCTTTTACAGCAAGCGGCGTCAGTTCGTGCCAACGCTGAAGGTTGCGCGGGCGAATTTCGGGTAGACCCAAAAACTGCCAAAGTGGCATATTTATTGAAGGAAAGTCATAGTAATTGAAGGTTGTTTATCTCTCTAGCTAATCTATCTTCTGACTTTCTGCTAATTACCAATTTTCTTTTGCTTAGCAACTATGCTTCACACTCTTGAAAGTCATTGGCAGTCGATGTGATGTACACCTTTATTTTTATACAAAATGCTAAAATTAGTAGCGCGCAAACTGAACACCTTTGAATTTTGCAAAAATTTGCTGAGCAAGTACTTTCAAAAAGAGAAAAGTTGTGTTGATATATATATATATATATATACAGGGTGTCCGTAAAAAATGTGCCTACTGTTTGATTGTGAATAACTCTCTTCTAACGAAGTCTTTCGAGAAGCTTTAGGCACCATTTTGTAGAGCGAGGTTCAACTTAGATTTGCAGTATAGAGCGAATCACCGAGCTCTTTTTATTACTGTAGGATTACGGTAGGAACCGACAAGGATTTTAGGTCTTTGGAGGCCATAATCTGCCTCGGAACATAACCAAACAAGCCGGAAATTCTTACACTATGATAATGGAAGCCGCTCTTTTCGAATATGAAATTTCCACTTTACTGTGGTGCCTCTTTCCTAAGTTACCCCAGGTGAACCGTAATAATTGAATTTCCAGCATTTTTCAGAAATGTGATTACGCCGTCAAAAAAGCTGAAAACACCCGTAAAAAGTTGCGTAGTGGAATCAGCGTGCGCGAAAACCCTAGTACACGATTTTTCAGATTTTTTGAAAAAAATTTTGTCAGGCGGCATATTTCACGATGGTTCCATATACTGAAAGTTCCTACCGTAATCCTACAGTAATAAAAAGAGCTCGGTGATTCGCTTTATACTGCAAATCTAAGTTGATCCTCGCTCTACAAAATGGTGCCTAAAGCTTCTCGAAAGACTTCGTTAGAAGAGAGTTATTCACAATCAAACAGTAGGCACATTTTTTACGGACACCCTGTATATATATGTTGAAATCCACAGCTTTTAAAAAGACTTCTCACCAATTTTCGAAGCGAGATAAGCACAAATCTCTCTTCTGCAGTTCTACGGAAAAAAGTTGTTCCGTACTCCTTTCAACACATTCACGACAAAACGACCCACCGGTGGGTCGTACGTGTTCTGCCACTTCGGACAATAGACCGACGGTGAGTCGTAAGATTCCTGAAGATCTAGCTTTGCCAGTTCGCGATGCAGATCTACGAGTTTCTGACAAATGGGGGCACCTAGGTGAAACTCCAGCCCCTGATGCTGTAGCAAGCTTACACTAGGCATAGCGTAGATAGAGATAAGGCGCAGATTAAGCTCAAAACATTCGCAGAATGATGCCGTTTCTGAAGTTCAATTGTACTTGCACACGAAATACGGGTGTAATAAATCATGTTTTGATAACCTACACCTTTGATAATCCCTCTGGGATCGGAGACATGTTGTGAATTTTTTTCCAAAAAGTCTGCCATTTCGGACATACGACCCACGGGTGGGTAAATTTAACAAGGCGGAAAATGCTCTGATCCAAAACGGCAGTAATCGAAAAATCGGCCTTGTCGTGAATGCGTTATAAACTATGACACCATTTCTTATAGCTGCTCCAAGAGTTGTCCGCACTGGCGCTAGGACAGGTCGTACTACTTGCACAGCGCCGTTGATGAACAAGCTACCGAGGGTTGATAGCAATTTCTATCGTAACCAGTGTCGAGCAAGAGATGAAGCACACAACCGCCGGAGATGACCCCCCCCCCTTCCACCTCCTCTCCCAGTATTATCTTTTGAGCCGCTGTGAGCGGGTAGAGGACTATATGTCGCCGAAAAAGGGCGGTCCCCGGGTCATTTGCGACAAATACACACCCTTGTACATGCGCGGACATGCGTTCCTGGAGGGAATCCGCGCGGGACTCCTAGTACTCTGCGTTGATACCACTGCTTCCACCCGCTGTGAGCCAAGTTTTAGCGAATTTCGAGGAGTCCCAATATTGGTCCACCCAAGTGTTGTTTCGGGAGTGGGTAAGTACTTCTTATCACATTCAATGCAAAGAACTACTCTTTGCTCACATCAGGAATCCCACTTCATATAACCTTTGTACTGTAAATTAAGAGCAAGCCAAATTCCGTTTCTTCCATTTTTCGCTTTCAATATCTCGCAATAGGGAAAGCCAGTCAGGCCCAAATCGCTTTCGTAAAAGCCACGAGTTTTGGGCAACTATGTTAAAGCACACTTTGAGGCTTTACAGCATTGTAGATACTCTCTTGCAGTGAAGTCAGATATAGAGCTGTATTGTCATTAAGAGACTATGGTGATAATTGAAAATTTCTATGCTATTATGAGAACGGCATGAGTTATGAAGTTTGAGCAATATAGTAATTCCGTCAAGTACTCTGCGTTGATACCACTGCTT